AGCGGCAGGAATCGCCTGCGCCTGAATAGGTGTGGGCTGTGTGTACTCGTTTTTACGGATAGCTTTAATCAAAGCATCATCAAAGCCGAAATGACCGAAACTCGTTACCGGATTTGACGGAGACGGTCCGGATACTTTTATACCCAGAGTCTTTTTTAAATCATCGACCTGCTGTTTGCTTAAACTTGCAATTTCTTCATGCACATTGTAAAAGTTCTTCTCGAACGATTCATATTCTATTTCACTATGATCAATTGAAGGTAATGGATCGATCTCCTTCTTCTTTGGTGGTGCAATGGGATTGCCGTCTTCATCGTATTCAATCTCTTGATCGGATTCTTCTTGTTGCAAACCAGCAGTTGGATTTTCTTCCATATATCTTAAGGAATGAAGTAATAATTATATATTTTATCAGAATTTTACGTCAAAAGTATGTAATTGATAATATCTCTCTCTAATAAACTTATACCTGTAGTAACTTTCCTCATCGTCTTCTCCATCAATATCTGCCCGAAATCCTTTAGATTTATCTTCTTTACGATTATCACCACACTGAGCTGCGTAAGTATTCTGCTTCACTTCTGCATCAATACCTGCCATGAAAGCATCTAGAGTATCCTCCTCACTGTCGCTGTTATCCTTCGTTGCCGATTTTTTCATCAAGTCGTATGTGGGAGAACCAGGCGCTGGTATATATTCCAACGATGAAGTTGGAGGTTCGTCATCGTCTTCAAAGTATCTGAATTTAAATAGGGATTATAATGTTTAATATATATGATCTTTTTATAACATTAATTGCATTCAAAAGACAAATGTTATATTCAACAGAAAAAGCAGCTTTGTACAACTGTTGTAAGATTTTTTTTAATATGATTGATTTATACATTTCAATGTAGTATAAAACTAGAGGCAAGAATCACTTATACAGGGGATGTCACACAACTACCGCATTTCCTCTTAAGGACATATTTTTGAAGTAATTTTGAAATGAAAATTCTAATATGAAAATGTCGAGACTACAATAATTTTTTTAATTATAAGCTAACTTTGAATGCTTATAAGTCAAAAACCATTTTACTTTTATAGCCTCTATTATTATTTCTGGATTCTTGTGAACATTCTAAGACGAAAATCCTAATACAAAAATATCGAGGCTATAATAGTTTTCAAATTACACACTATCTTTAACCAATTATAATTCAAAAATTATTGTAGCCTCGATATTTTTGGATTTTCGTCTCAAAATTACCTCAAGAATATGTTCCTAAGAGGAAATGCGGTAGTTGTGAGACATCCTATATAAAAGAATCTTACAATTGTAGCTGCTTTTTTTTGCAAATGCGTTGTTTATTCATGAAATTATACTAACTCTTCCTCGGTCTTGCTGCGCTTTTTAGGCATGCCCCAACACGCAGACAAGGCGTTTTCCGTAATGGCATTCATCGTGTGATAGCCTTGTTTGCTCAGGGTAGAGTTTGGTGGAGGTGGAGGTATATTGGTACCACTTCTTTTTGTTCCAGACATTTGGAAGCCACTGAAGCCAAAGCCTTTCGGCTTGTTACCACTTCCTCGATGATAACTCATTGTGTTGACTTTAACAAAATTAATGATGATTGAAACTAATACTTTATTTCTTGTTATTGTAATTGAGTTATCTAATAAAGAGTACTTTTTAGCCACTGATGACACAATGTAACACAGTGAATCATTCACCTTTGATTAATATTGATAAATACAAGATAATATTGATATTGATTAATATTGATAAAAACAAGAACATAACAAAGTACATTTTTTATTTCTGTACTAGACTGTAATAGAACTTTCTTTCCTGCTTTTGTCAAATATCAAAACATATTTAAGTATTTCAGTTTAAATTTCAAAAGTATATACTAGTTCAGCTATATAAAATAGACTTATAACTCAACATAGTTGACAGAAACATCATTCTATCTTTCTTGGCATTCAATGAATAACAAAGAATGATATTAGTGCCAACTATCTAAACTATTTTAAAAGAAAGGTTTATGTTACACTACTTATGTTACACTGTCATCTGTCTCTTATGTCTCATGTGATGACTCAGCCAGGATGGATATATTTTTGCTCCAGTTCGAGTATTATTTTTAATTTTTGAAAGTATTTGGCCCAGTTTAACTTAATGCATTCGTATTCCATTTACTCTTTTAATCTTTTATGTGGCTATACAGTGAAAGGTAGAAGCAGAGAAAAGTAGTTGGCTATATCAAACTCCGAGTGTGGAGACAGAGCTATCCAATTACAGAAGACAAATAATAATCTGCGTCTCTTGTTGGAAAACACCCATAAATAACCGTACGGATAAATGGATAATCTTCGTCATGCGATAAGACACAAAATTACAGTTGTTGTAGAAAACAAATTGTAAGCGACAATGTTCGTTTTGCATTTCATTTAAAATATTCAGACGATTGATACATGAAATAAATACAATAACAGACTAAAACATCTCACGAGTGTGAAAATTAATTCGAGGATCAAAGGTTAGGGGTTACGGAGTCAACACCGTTATCGTTGCGGAGTTCATTTTAATTGGCTTCTCTCCGCATTATTCGCAATGTTTTGTAGGAATCTTAACTGGATAACTACCTGTCGCACAATGAATTCACGAATTCATTCGCAAATCCTATTGCCAAATCAGTCGAACGACAAAATTTCTGTCACGCAAAAAAAGCCACAAACTACACGGTTGCGGAGTCGTTACGTTCCGTCCAGGGCCACTAACTTCAAACTTCACCCTCCTTTGATAGATGGCGCTTCTATCGACGATTGTCGCTGTCATCACCGAAATGGTAGTTCATAGAAATGCGTTCGGATGCCTTCGAAACGTCGCTTGGATGCCTCGAGTTCATCATCTATCCTTGTTTAAGAAAGTCTCGCGCTAGTCAATAGACGTTTTATTCATAATAATATGTAAAACAATTAAAATAATGGAATAAAAAGGTTACTAACAATATCCTATACCATTATACATAATTGTTGTTAATTTTATATGTTACTAAATATTTTCAAAATGACAAAATAAAAGTTGTAAAATGCTTATTTGATGTATATGCATCGTCCATTTGATTTGTCCTATTCTAGCTTTTTTCGTTGAAGAATATAAATTTCTTGTAAACTGTACGGTCAGTTTAAATGAAACTTTACGAGAGCAAACTTAAGTGTTTACTTTATAATTATTAAGATTTTTAAATTGCTGTCTTATAAGAAAGTATCTCAATTTAAAAGAGAATAACTATAGAATAAGGTTATACCTTCAACTTGTAATGTAAAATTCTAGAAATTTAGAATTAAATATCTTCAAAATAAAAAAGTCAATGAAATTTTTTCTAGATATTATTGATATTATTAACTTTTGCATTACATGTATATTATAGTCTTGTCTTATATTTCATCAAAGGCGAGAATTTCCTTAATATTAAATGTTAAACAAGGACAGATGACGAATGTGGTATCGGGGGGGAGGCATCTGAGTACGTTTTCGAACGCAGCCATTTGTTGAATTCACACTAGGGATGTTCGATCTAGGCAAAAGAATCGATTTTTTTAATCGACCTGAATCGCAACTGCGAGTATCGATTCACCAAAAGATTGAATGTCAAAAAATCGATTCGGTAAAGATCGATCTAAAAATCTAGACTAATTGCAAATTGCATATTATAGCTCTTTTCGTATAAAAAAAAAAAAAAACCAATTCCAATGCATATGGCCGGTCACAGAAAGGTTGCAACATTTTTTTTTTCGATGTCTTTCGAAACTCAGCCTTGCTCGTAGACTGATTGAATGTAAATGAGTGGATCTATAAGAACTAATCGCTCGGTCAGCAAACTGCATTCCGAAACTCATGGAAAAAAAGTGTTACAACTTTTCAGTGACCAGCTGTACACAGAAGATCGATTTCGGGTCTTAAGAATCGATCTAAAAAATCGAGAATCGAAGATAAAAGAATCGATTTTCTAAAAAATCGATCTTGAAT